TCCTTTGAATGAGTTTATTAGCAAAGAAATAAAAACGGTGAGAAAATACCTTTCCAATGACACCTCTTTAGTCTAAATCGGATGAGTTTAGGTTCAGTTATTCAAGGTTTTCCTATACCAATCTTTGAAAAAAGTTAAAATATAGCATCAAAAATCTCATCATTACGATTCCGTTCAAAAATTTATTCTAGTTTTTTTTTTATTTTTATGCAAATATTTTAAGCTTAAACCGTTTTGTCATTTGAGGGGATTTTTTCAAAAAAAATCTTTAAAAAACTATTTTTATTCATAAAAAACTCCATTTTTGGAGGTATTTTCAAATCGGTCCAGCTCACTTAAATCTTAATATTTTTCCGAAATATTTGGTGACGTCTTAAAATATAATAGATTTTATAATTCCAATGGAAAAATAGTACCGATTTTTTTTTGTATGGGGAGCGATGCAGTCTAATGTACATATGTATGAGAAGATAATGAATTTTCATGCTGATTTGTGAGGAGTTTTTACTGGTTTGCGGTGGTACGAAATCACTTTCGACACTTATCTTTGAAGCAAAAATAATTAATGATAATTCAAAATGAAGAAACATATTTAAATAAAATAATATAATTGTTTATTTGTGTACATACAACCATATAATACTAATAACTGTAAAGAACAAACAATTTCATCTAATCAGTTTACTTAAATATGTAAGTATGAAAAGTTCACCTTCAATTCGTGCTGCATTGTTGAATTTCCTATTTATTTTATTTATTACTAACATTAACTAAGTATTTGCAGAGGTTTACATTAAACTTTAATGATTAAAGCGTTAAAATAACTTTGCGTGAAGTGTGCTTTTTTATCTATTTCGTCGACTGATTTTGCGCGCACGCGCAGAGTGTTCGTTGAGTAACCATTTATTTGATGCTTGCTTACATTTTTTGTAACGTACATCTATCTACCCACTGGGCAAATAGGTAAACACGTTACGAGGTAATCCATGTTTTCTTTCAGGTTTTAGTATTAAAATTGTCATAATGACAAATGTCATCAAAGTTTCCTATAAACTAGTCTCATGTAAATTTCCCAGAAACTTACACAAACCATTTTATTGCTGAAGTAATTTTAATGATTTTGATGTGTAAACATCTTAGCTCTTGTTTTGGGTAAATTTGTAACTGTGTCTTGTGTGTATAAATGAACATTTCTGGTTAAGCTCAAGGCTATTTTGGCACCATTTAGGGATTAGATCCCGATTATTTTCGGACACTTTCCGGACTGTGACGAGTTCATTCGAGGCCGGTTAAAGATTATTTCAAGACAATTTTGGGACCTATTCAGATCCATCGCGGAGTAGTTCACGACTATTTGAGGATCATTTTGGTTATAATTCTGGACCATATCGTGACCGGGTGAGGAATATTTAAGGAACATTTCACGACTATACGGAACAGTTTTTGGACTAGTTCCGCACCATTTTGCGGCGAGTTCAAGACTATTTGAGGACCATTTTGGGCCTAGTTCGGGTTCATGTTGGGACTAATAAGAGACCGTTTCGGAAGCATTTAAAGACTTGTTCGAGATCTTTACGGGACGACTTCATGACTTTTTCGACCGTTTCGGGGCCTATTCAGAACTTCTTCTGGACCATTTCGGAACTGGTTCGGGATGAGCTTGGTCATGTTCGAGATCATTTCAGAATGGTTCACGACTATTTCAAGCCCATTCCAGGACTAGTTGGGGACTATTCAAGAATCATATCGGCCTAGTGCGGGACAATTTTGGGACTAGGAAATACCATTTCGGGACCGTTTCAAGACTTGTTCGAGATCGTTTCAGGTCAAGTTCCAGACATTATCAGAACCATGTCAGGACAGTTTTGGGACTAGTTCGGCATCATATCGCGGTAGTTAGAAACTAGACCCGAAATGATCCTGAGCACTTCCCGAATTTATTGTGAAAAAGTCATCGACAAAATGAAATTTAATTAATTTTTAATTTCTAACCTCTTATATTTATGTGTGTAACTGAATCGCCTAATGCTTTGGCCAGCCGTAGATATACATATACATATTTATTTATACATAAAATTTCAAGAGTATACTGCTTATTTAGGTACTGAACGAGTATGACGGTTTCATACTGCTCGGAGGCTTGTTTTCTCATTGCGAATGCCCTCTAAGCGTGCCAGGAGGAGGTACATCGATCGCTGCTGTACCCGCGATTATAGCAAGCTGTCAGTGTAGTGTCTGTTAATCCACCTACCCACCTATCCACCAGATGAAATTGAGGAGGTCCGGTAGTTTCACTTTAGTTCTCGGCCAAGTTGGCGAATGAGCGAGATTGAAAATGCGTCTCACCTAGTGTGGGCAAATGGACATTGTCATATGACTACATTTGCTTAGAAAGAGAAATTGTTAGTATACGCCCTCGTTGGATCATTGGTGCTATATTTAGTAGATTGTCTGTTTTAAACCTGCACGATTTACGAATAAACCTTGGCAGATGGTTGGGTGTCAAAGAGCTCAGGTGTTCGTTTCTCATCATATCGCGGCCAAATGCTTTATATCTAATCCTTGCAAGGGCCCATTTTACGGCAGGAAGAGAAAATAGGGTGTTCGTGTATGTCGATCCCAGGCTGGTGTGTGCACCACTAGATAGACACTTTGATATTGGAGGCCACATAAGTTTTACCCACCTTCAACCCCACGATGCCTCCCAGGCATTGCTAAGCGAAGTATTCACCAATTTCTGATGGTGGCTTTGATGGCCGAAGGTGGGAGTGCTATAACTGGTTGCGTGCCGAGGAATGCCTGGTCTGAGCCAACTCTGGCCAAATGGCTAATGGTCAGATGTCTCATTACCAGGTAATCTCAGCAAGCTCGTTATGTTTAATAACATAATTTACTCAAGGTTGCATTGGCGAACTAGTTTGGAAGTAGTTAGAGGACTGGCCGATGTCTTAACTGCAGCTTGGCTTGCAAATAACTAAGCTTGGAAGACCGAAGCGTATTAACCAAGAGAGAAGAGAACTTTATCCCCATTAAATTCGATGAAGACCCAGATCCTGATCCATAGTCAGATTTGGAGCCATCAGTGAAGATTCGAAAATGTGTGAGTCCGGGCTCAGTACTGGAATTGAACCAGCATTCAGCCTCAGGAAACTCAACGTTAAAGAATCTCTTCAACAAAGGTACTGGTGGCGTACTATCCGCCAGTAACTTTCGTCTCGCTACGCTCAGTGTTATACTACTATCCGTTTGTCTTTAGTATGCAGGTGTCCTTTAGTGCAGTAGTGCATCAAGAGCTGCGCCTGGTGTTACAGAGAAAGTACATGGCAATCGTTATATGAAGTTTAGCAAGCAGATTTAACATGCTAATGATTTAGTGTCTGTTCCGCCATGCCACTGACGCACAGCTGATTATGGGTCTTATCATAAAGGTATAAATCCTAGAGGATTCGCCTTGGTGACAGACCCCACATTTTGCCAAAGACCTGTTTGAATTACCAAAATACTGTCAATGTTTTGGAGGTCTGGTGCTCCATCTGAGCTGGTAAGGCGATTTATGAAAAGTAATTGCACAGATTGACCGTAAAATAGTGAACGTATTTGTATTTAATAATAATAGGAGTAATAGGGAATTAAATAAAATTTATTATGGTTTTCTCAGAATAAAAAAAAAAAATTATTTTACAATTCCCTTATACACACAATCACCTGTTTGATAATCCCCTATAATCAATGACATGTAATTGTTTTGTGCCGCATATAAAATGTAATTGTGGTGCAAAGTTATAAAATGCAATTGGCACAGGTTTATGTATGTATGTATGTGCATTCTTGATTTACTAAATGTGACTCAAACACAGGCAGCAATTTTTATATTGCACTAATTAATGTGGTTTATTCATGCACCTTGTGATATTATTAAATTATGGTATACCATAATTATTATGGTCTGACATAATTTTTATGGTATAACATAAATTTTGTGTTGTGACGTAATTTTTATAGTTGGGCCCACATTAATTAAAAAATGCGTATGCAGGATAATGTGCGATTTATCATTTACATAGATAGATACTTACATATGTGTGTATGTGTGTGTGTCATGCTTATTAAGCTTAAGGGTAGGTAGGTTTGTGTTTCAAACACATTTTTTCGTTTTTTGTGTTAGAGGGTAGATACTTTTAAAATTTACTTGAGAAAACGGCCGTACGAGTAGCGGAAAAATTCTGTGAAATATTTCCAATAATTACAGTGTTCACTGCTTTGGGCAACACAAATTTACAACATTATATTTATATGTTCTTCGGATTCCATTATAGCCATTTACTATAATCGGTTTCAAAGCATTTTATGTGTCATTTAAAACAGTGATAGGATAGAAATATAAAGTTCCAAGAGCGGTCGTTTAAAATTCCATAATCCTACTCAGCTACAAGTTCATATACGTATCTACGACTATCAAAAAAAAAGTCTCACAATTGTTTTATACCCTTATTTCACAAAACTGAATATCTCTCTCTCTATTTCTCATTGCAGTAATGAATTGGATGCTAAGAAAATCAACTAATAAATAACTATTAATTGGAACTCAAAAAAGTCTTCAAACATACTTCATACCTACATACATCTATGTAAAGTTGATATATAAATAAAGAACGACTTAATATTTTTTATACATATAAAATCGTATTGGAATTGTACTGAACGCGCAAATAGCGAACTCGTGCCCAACAATAGCTTGTGATATATAGTACACAAATACACAAGAATAAAGTCACACGTATAGCAATCATAACAACTGTAACAGAATATAATCAAAGACAATATAANAAAAAAAAAAAAAAAAAAAAAAATCGGCCAAGTAAACTTCAACTCAGCACAAAAACGCCAACGACATTGCCACTACAAACTCAACACAAAAGAATTTCAACACAAAGCAAAGCTACTAAATAAACGCATATATCGATAATCATCGTCATCATTAGCCATTATCATCGTCAGATCATCAGCATACGTGCATACGTCTTCGACTGGTTTCCAGACCCACAAAACCACACCACTGTTCATTGCACAGCTGAGATAACTCAACGCTCACGTCCTTTTGGAAGTGCTGCACTACGAAGTACTTTTACGTCGCTTCATCAGTAAATACCCCCAGTCCTTACCAGCGTAGGCCTACACTCACATCATAGGCACAGCCGCAGTCGCAGACACAGCCACAACCAGAACAACAGTNCCTACACTCACATCATAGGCACAGCCGCAGTCGCAGACACAGCCACAACCCGAACCAACAGCCATGGATTTTGATCAGATACTCTCGAAATGCGGCGATTTCAGTCGTTATCAATTTATGTTGTTGACGCTATTCGGTGTCATCAATTTCATCGTCTCACTACACTATTTTACTCAAACTGTGATAAGTTTTGTGCCCGATCATTGGTGTTACCATGAGAAATTAGCGAATAAGTCATTCGATGAGATTGCAGAGATTTACTCGAAATTCGCGAATCCTTCGTGTACGCGACTACTGGACATCGATGGCGCCAATGTGACGGTGAGTCCAGAGCGTTGTACGCGTTGGATCTACAAGTATGATTACGGTTATAGGAGCATGAACACAGAGGTGAGTGGACATGTGGTTTAATAACATTTTTTATTAATAAATATTGAATGTTCACATATTGTTGGCTGTAACATATTAACGTAGTTCTATCACATTTCTTCTTTCGCTTGCAGCTAAATTGGGTCTGTGATTCGGCGTATAAAGCGCGCGTTGGACAATCGCTGTTCTTTATTGGTTCCGTTGTGGGAACCCTCTTTTATGGTCTACTATCGGATAAGATAGGTCGCTTGCCCGCCTTGATACTTTCAAACTTTTCGGGCTTCATTGGTGATTTTTCGACAATATTCTCAAGAAGCGTAACGACGTTTTCACTGTGTCGCTTCATTTCTGGCATGGCAGCAGATACGAACTTTTACCTCATGTACATTATTGGTGAGTAAAGAAGAAAGACAGGCAAAATACATGCATACCTTCNTACGAACTTTTACCTCATGTACATTATTGGTGAGTAAAGAAGAAAGACAGACAAAATACAAGTATGCCTCCAAAAAAAAGTTAGGATATAAAAGAAGGATTTGAGGCTTCGATGTTAAGGGTTGCGTGAATGACATTGCTATTCTAATCAGAGGTTGGCTTGAAGACATTGAGCCTCGTGCATAAAAAAATGAACTGAAACTCCGACTCGATTCTCGGTACAAATCTTGAGCTTGAGCTAACTTCATTGGTGCCGAAACTGAGTCTGAGTTTTAACCCACTTTTTATGCATGAGGCCTAATCTCTAATCACCTATAGAATGCGCCAAACCCAATCGCCAAGTGGTGAGAGAGTTATTCTTGAAAACAAAATCCCGAATCGAATCCGTAACTAGATAAAGCTTTTCAACAGTCCAGGGCTTCCATTTGGTATCTAATGGGCGGATACTGTGAGGCATCAGACCTAAATTGGCAAGGTGGTTGTGCGATACCATCTAAAAATCTATCCTAGCCTATGCTGCGCCCATTGTGTGAAAGGAGCCAGAATTGAAGTCCATGCAGGCCAAGCTCAGCAAACTACACCGACTAGCCTGCGTGGACATTACTAGCGAGATGAGAACAACGTGGCTCGCGGAACGTTATTAGACTTACCACCTCCACATATTGTAATCAATATTCTGTTCCTTTACTAGTCTAGTTTACAGGATTTAGTCTGGAAGATATTACTAAAGATATTTTAAATGTGTGTACGGGGACGATTTCGGATTAAATCCTGCAAACCGAGCGAGTAAAGGAACAGAGGGTAAGAAAACGGTTATACTATTTACTGCAAAGCCCACCTTTGAATTATACAACAAGAGAAGAAAGCGCGTTAGCTTTGTGGACCTGTGCCTTCATAATTTTAAGGTATATTTTCCTAATAGAACAAACTAGAATAATTAACGACTGTGGCATAGAAGCCAAACGGCTTCTTTTGACTACCATGAGGGTGAGGTAACCTTCGTTTTTCTGTGAAGCCGTGTGCTATAGGGTGACAGATATTCTCGCCTGAAAAGGGGGATCTATAGAGAACAGAAATTTATAGGCGAAGGTGCCTTCATTGGCCTGCCATTGGGCTCTGTCTGGCGGCATTTCTATATTTGGATGAAGAAGGAAGGGCAACACTACCGAACAACTACAAAAGGTATCATAGAGGCTAAGTCCTTTATCCCGGAAATATCAACAAAGGATAACCGAAGCGCTCCTTCACCTTAGTAGGCATGAAGTAAGAATTTTTACAGTCGTAGGATTCTGGTGTTACTATATGATCCTGCACTACTATGTCGCTTAGAGTGTTAAATTCAGTAATACTGAATTTGATTTCCCCGAGCGAAGCACCCATGTCCACCGCTCGGGACACATTTATTGAAAAGCCCTACTTCACTTCTTCATCTGCTGCCTCATTACCGCATACATATAGAGATATACATATGTATGCCCTTGGACCCAAATTAGAGTAATATCGTATTCTCAATCATTTCTCAATCTTTAATTAATTTGTTATTACAATAATGCCCTCCAAGCATTGGATCTTTCTCCCAATCCGCTTGAAAAATGTCAGCAAAGTTTAACGTTGGCCCAAAATTTGTTTATGTTTTAGTCGTTAAGCACTGCTTCTATATTGGTGCAGAAAGTATTGTTCATAAAGATTACACAAGCAGTGCTAGTAATGACACGCTCTTTACTTTGCTCCTCAAAAGAGATCCATGACCGAAGCAGCATTTTCCTCTTCCACTCTCGGACTTTCAATCGTGCGAACAACCGCAGTATTAATCACCCTCTGAAAATTTCTAACTTAAGAATGACTGCCTCCGAAGTTTCTTGAAGCAAAATTGGTAATATTTAGTCCATACATGGTGAATGAAAGAAGGAAAAAGTGAAAATATACAATGTTACCTTTTTACTTCCAGAAGCTCCTTTTAAAGGTCACTAGTTAGAAAAATCGGAGTGTTTAGAGCAGCGTTCTCAAGTCGATCGACCCTACACCCTTGCAAGTGTGCTTTCAAGAGGAATTCCAAATTTCCTCAGTCCATGAAACGGCAGAGAGAATCTTTTGGCGAAGATTCTACACAGCTTAGCTGACTCCTTGATATCCTATGAAGATTCGGGAAATATTCTCTAGAAGCCCTCCTTGGCGTCGCAAAGGACATTTTTATACTTCTTTAAGTTACTTTGTAACATTCGTTGAATGACTTCCTTATTGATTTCCAAAGCTTTGTAATCTCATTAGTCCAATTGTGCGAGCTTTCATACTTCCTTACGCATAACTTTGCTGATCCCTTGTACCAAGAGAAATGTGTAAAAATATAGCAGTTTGTCTGGCAAACTGAAATAACTTTTTGTGATCTCCTTTTGCATCTGCCTTCAAATTCTCTAGTAGATTGACCCTCAGGAGGCAGAGCCACGGCCGCAGCTTAGAAAAGGCAGGACATTCGCAAAGGATGGGCTACATTCTTTTTGCATCTCCTGCATACTTAATCCCAAGTAAGGCCTAACTTTAAAACCCGTGATGCCAACAAACAATTTCCTGTTCGTAAGAGCATGATGTGGTTCTTCAAATCTTACAGCAATAAAACGATAGCATTACGAAAAAATTATGTGTAAATAATTTCTCTCCAAATCTGAACTTTACTTCAATCTCTTTTCCAGTACTCGAATACATCCGTCCGTCGATGCGTACACTTGGACTGAACTTGGCCGTCGGCGTTTTCTACACAATCGGTCTAGTCATTACGCCATGGTTAGCCGTGCTCGTTGGCCATTGGCAACTTTACTTAGCCTGTACTTCACTGCCAATACTCTCTGTGGTGCTGTATTATTTTGTAGTGCAAGAGAGCGCACAATGGTTGGTCACAAGAAATGATGTGGATGGTGCTATAAAGCGTTTGAAACGCGTTGCACGATTTAATAAGCGCAAAGTAACGCCAACGGAATTCGAGGAGTTTCGCAAACATTGCGAAAAGCAGCGTCAGAAAATGGGCGGCGACGATCAAGTGCATTCGACGCTATTGGATATGTTCAAAACGCCACGCATGCGCAAACATACGCTGATCTTATTTTTTAAGTCGTAAGTATTTTACGAATATTTCTTGAGATAGAGCGTTTTCGAACTGGCAGCCGAGATAGGTCGATCTACCACTCAGGTGAAGATATATTAGGTGTAATTTGTTTCCATAAATCTCAGCATGCATAGCTTCAGCCAGTTTCACAAAAGCGATGTAAGTGAAAAAATTTTATTTTATTTTAATTTATTATGAAGACTGATGGAAGGGAAAAAATAATTGTTCACGTAAATTGCTGGTGAAACCGGCAGCCAGCTAGGCTCAGCCATAATACGAGATTTTAAATTTTTCTTTATTTGACTGTCTTCAACATATTTTCAACTAAAACCTTCTAAAACCATTTTTCTCTGTCAACCTTTTTGTGCTACATATTTGAACTACATAGCTAATTCCCTTAATTTAAGTGGAATTTGATTATTTTCTTGCCTGATAAGTCAAACCATAAAAACGCATAATTTTTAAGCACAATTTAGTTGATAAAATTTTTTAATAATGGTTTTTATTCTTTTAATTTATTATACATATGTATTTATGTATGTATGTATGTATGTCTATAAAATCATTGAATACTTAATCACACAAAAAAATACTTACATTTCATTCATTCGCTACAAAATACTTGCTTTGCTAAAACATACTTCCTAAAACATTTTTGCATTAGCTAACAATGTTAAAATAACAACCACAACAAATCAGATACGCATACAACATTCTAACACAAATTTCACTAATTTGAACGTTACAGAATTCCTCGGCAGCACACTGTTTTAAAATCTGTCCGTGATCTCAGGTGTTTTGGTATCCTTTTTCTTATCGAAGCATGGAAAGTAGTACCAGCGTTGATGACGCGCGAACTCCTCGCCATCTTTCAATGTCTGTGGCAATTTTCTGTAGAAGACGAAAGAGAGTATGACTAATGCGCATTTAAAAAAAATTGAAACTTTATATGATGCTTACTGATTCATGGTCTCCGGCAATGCGAGACATAGAAGAGCGCCCATGAACACTATTACAGACATGCAAATCGATGGCAGCGGTTTGTAGAAGTATCCTAAATATATCACATAAGAGTTGAGTGCAGCCGCGGCAAAACCTGCAACATGAACATTGGCCATGCCTCGACCGCGAACAGTTGTCGGTATGAATTCCGAAATATATTGCGCTTCTGCCTCATAGCTCGCCACAACGCCTAACCGACTCAGACCAACCATAATGGCAAAAAGTGTAGCATTTTGCTCGGTATCAAGAAAAGCAATCATAAAAGCATTAGTGGCAATAATAATCCCACTAACAGAGAGTGTACTAAAGGCCATGCCCTTGCGTCCGATGCGATTTTGTAGCAGAATGATAGTTAGACAGCCCACAATGTAGACAATGGAAGTAGCAGAGAAGAGAATGAAGGGTGAGGTGCCCATGCCTTCCATATTCCGGCTGATAACATCCAGAGCCAGTGAGATGAACATGCTGCATGTAGAAGGGTGAGTGAGAAACAGAGAGAGAGAGAAAATAGAAGAAATGTGAGTTATAGAAGAACACTTTTTCCATCAGTCTATATTAACTTACCATTTTATAATCATAATTATGGTAACTTTGCGCAAACGCGGCGTGCGGAACATACCCCAGAAGGTGTCCGTTCTCTTTCTCAACTTGCGTTCCTCATTTATTTTGTTTTCATGATATGTTTTGAACTCATCGAAAACCTCCTCACTCACTTCTCGTCCATTGAGCTTAGCAACACGCTTGAGACATTTAATTGCGCGATCGTAACGTTGTGTTGCAATCAACCATTGAGCGCTTTCACAAATTAAGAAGGGATATGTAATCACAATCACTGCTGGCACCGAAGCAATATAAAGATAGTAACGCCACGAACCAGACCAAAGTGCAAACCAAGGTGCGAATACCAAGCCAAGGCAGTAGAATGTGCCGGTGATCATGTGCAAGCCGAGTGTGCGCTTCTGTGGGCTTAAGTATTCGAAAACTGCACAAAATTTGTGTGTTAGTATTTGTATGTAGTTAAAATATTACTATTAGCTAATAATTGATTTTAGCGATAGCACATACCCATTATATACATGAGGTAGAAGAAGGTGTCCGTAGATAGGCCAGAGAGGAAACGGAAGAGCGCAAACAATGGCAAATTGTTGGCGAAAGTTGTCAGAAAGTCACCTGAAGCGCCGGTAAGTGTGGTGAGTATGAGCGCCGGTAGTCGTCCGATTTTATCAGCCAACATGCCAAAGAACACAGTGCCGATGCAGGAGCCCACAAAGAATAGCGACTGTCCCACAGCAGATTTTATGACGTCCTCACATACCCAGTCGAGCTGTAATTGAGAATCAAATACAAGTTTAATGTATGGAATGAAAAACCCTTGACTTTTTAGATGCATGCAAAATAATATAAATCTAGTGGTTTTGTTTTTCCAACTGGCAAATATTAATTAGCCAATTGCATAATTTTATTTAGAAAATGAAAGACACATTAAAAAATTAGAGGTTTTATGCAAAAAGGACACCTCGGCATACGTAATAGTCAATCATAGACGAATTTCACATGAGCTAAGTTAAATGAACGTTAAATTAAGGCGAAAAACTCAAACCAGACAGAAGGAAAAATGACACGAAAAATGGCACAACGCCGAAACCGGTTTGTCTCTAAACCAAACTTGACAAGTGATGACGGAAATTGTTCAAAACAAATCACCTTACCAGCCTGCCGCAAAATCAACGACACGAATTTATATCAAAATTTTTTTGGGACCAATCTGCAGAAAGAATTAGGTAAGGCTTGCTACGACGATCAAGATTACACATGTACATCATATAGAGTAGTCCGATCATAATCGCGCTCTAATCGCAATGCTATATTCCTGTATAGGTACACCCTCTTGAGAGCTTGCTCCAACTACAACTATTTCAGCACAAAAACGAAAACAAATCGATTTAATAGTTTTCCAAATATCTTGGGGACGGGCAAGGGAAAAATTAAAAAAAAAAATAAATATACATACATCAAAATTATCTATGAAAATAAATATTTTAAACATTTTTTTTTTAACAATATTGCACATACAAATTTTTTGATAAAAAAAAAATAATTTTTGAAAATATGCCATCTCAAAAAAAAAACTTGCAAAAAATCACAATGGTAGCTCTCACTTTTGCGCAATATTTAAGTATAGTATTACGGGGTGCACTCCACAATAATTTGAGTATAGATTTTTTTTACACCGAAGTTGAGTAAAATGAGTACATCACAAATTTGAATTTTTTTAAATTTTTTTATATAATTTTTTGAAATATGCAGCCCATTAAATTTTAGTATAATAAAGTGCAAGTTCAAAGCTACTGAAAAATTGCGATGATTTTTAATATTTTTTATGCTGACAGCTTTTTGTACTTTTTTCTTATGGAAGAAAATGCGCAAAACCATTTTCAAAGAAAATAAAAAAAGCCTGCACTTTTTCATACAAAAATTTAATGGGCTACAAAACTGCATACTCATAAAAACTCTAAAAAAAAAAATTAAAAAATTTGTAAATTTGTAATGTACTCATTTCACTCAACTTCGTTGTAAAAAAATTCATAACTCAAATTATTGTAGAGTGCACCCCGTAATACTCCACTTAAATATTGCGCAATAATGAGAGCTACCATTGAAAATTTTTTCAATTTTTTTTGAGATGGTATATTTTCAAAAACTAGTTTTTTTTATAAAAAAATTTGTATGTTAAAAATTTTTCAAGAAAAAATTTCAAAAATTTTCTTTTCATAGGGAATTTTGACGGGTGTATGTTAATTTTTTCAAATTTGTTTATGTATTACGAAACGGAAAATATTATAAGTGCATACTCACAGTGTCAAACACAAAAATAGGGTCGCAGCATTTCGATAAGTTTTTACTACTTTTCTTTTGTTAGTTTGATGTTTATTAGACAATATTGAGGTTGCTAAAAAAATTTATTAATTTTTGGCATTTTTTTTGACAGTGTCACGCATTTCATTCCATATAAAAAAAATCTTCCAACAAACATATATACTTTGAAAAAATGAATGAATGAATT